GAGTTTAGGGCTGTTGTACATATGGTCGGTATAAGTCGCAGGCGACCCGACGGCACATAACAATAACCACCTGTACAGGATTGCTAGAATTTGGATACAATTCCATAGCAATGGGTTTAGATTTTGGCTTACCCCTTTTATCGAATTATTTACAATGAATACGGTTTTAGTCGAATAGTTCTAAGAAAAAAGTGAAACTCAATATGGAAAAGTATCTGTAGAAGAAAACACAAAGCGTCCAACTCCGCGAGTTGCAGTTCACAGGCACAGAAGATCCCGGTCACCCTGCACGCCACCATTCTGTTCCGGCCCCAGAGGCCACGGGCGCCGGAAATCGTCACTCAGCAGGGCCGGAACCTCACACCGCCGAAGCTGCGCTGTGCTCGCCATGGCAATGGGAGGTGGCGGAGGCCGGCTGGAGCGGGAGGATTCTGTGCTGTTCCGGCGTGGCACAGGCCAGGTGAGGTCCCGGCCGCCTCTGCCTCCCTCCTGCCACCATTGCGCGCTCGGAATTCTTCGTCCAGGCTCTGCGCTTTCTTCTCTGGCTGCGTAGCACGGCCTGGACATGCCTGCACCGTGCGGGGCTGGCGTCCGCGTGTTGCTAAAGCCTTTCCCTCTCTTCCTCCTGCAAACTTCATCTGCTGAAGGTTTCCTTACGGCTTTATGCCGAGGCCCTACTGTAGTTTGACGAAACCTTGTTTATTCCACCTTTATCTCATTAGGAAGAGTGGACGAGGGGAGCTGTGCAGGAGGCTGTTGAAGTGCCCCAAATCTGGATCTGCAATCTAATAAGCGTCGGATTTAGTGTAAAGTGTTTGGATCTTGCATTCTGAAGTCAGAGGCAGCAGGTTGTTCAGATTAATGTTTTATGGCGATTTGAGAGAGCAGGAGCGCCATGGTTATCTTGAAAAGATGAGGTTATCTTTTACTGAGCCGAGAAAGACTACAGTCAGAAGAGCGTGAAGATAAGGAGTTCGATCTTGGCCACAGAATGCTTAGGGTGAAATCTGATTGGAGTGACAGTTCAAGACAACGTTTGAAACAAATTTTAGCTAGGAATTTTTCGGTAAATAAGTTCACAAAATGCCGTTGAGGAATGGTTAGTAGAGAGAGAGAGTTGGAAAAGACAATATTTTAAGTTATTTATAAGATGATAAAAATACATTTGTTAGGATGATAGAGGAAGAGCAGAAAATTGTTGGTAAAGGAGAAGGAAGAGAGAATTTTTGGAGTGATGTCGAAGAGTATGTAAGGGGGGTGGACTTGCCTATTGTTTCAATACTGATAGCTTATTTGACGGCAGTTAGATGTGCATAGATGGCAGTATATATGAGAGGTTATGAAAGTTCTGTTTTGATTTTGGCTGTTTTCTTATCAGGAGCAGAGATGTGGGAGAAGGTGTGAGGATTGATTAACCAGAAATACTCCCAGACAAAAATGTATAGATGTTAGACTAAAGAAATGTAAAGTCTACCTGTGATCCAAACTTTTTGCTATTGAATTGATTCCGACTCATAGCAACATAGTAGAATAAAGTAGGACTGCTTCTTATGGTTTCCAAGGCCATAATCTTTATAGAAGTACTGTGCCGCATTTTTCTCCTGAGTGGCTAGTGATTTAGAACCTTGGGGTTGAAGTAGCCAAGCATTAGCCTCTATGCCGCAGGGATTCACTTGAAAGCTTCTCAAATTGGAACTGACTCATAGCTTACTCTCCATTAGGTTTCTGAGGCTGTAACTTGGCATGGGAGGACATTGCTCATCTTTCTTGGGGCCACTGGTGGATTCATACAGTCAAAGAGATGTGGCTTTTGGGTTAGCATCGCAAATATCCTGTGGCTTGTGCCAACAGAGTTCCTTTCACTTGAGAGTAATGGTTGTAAATTTTAAGAGTATTGAGTTCATTAACTTACTGAGTCTTTTTGCTGTTTAGGTATAGTCATCGGCAAATAAAGATAATTTTTTTCCCAGTCTGTTGTTTTCTTTAATAAAGTTAGTATCAGTTGTTTTATGTAACAACTCCCTAATATTTCCATGTTGTTGTTGTAGTGTATTATAGAGTTGGAAAAGACCCATAGCTTACCCTCTGATGGGTTTCAGAGGCAGTTCACATGGGAGGAGGAGATTGCCCCTCCTTCTCCCATGAGCAGCTGGTGGCCTTGAACTGTGTGTCTTCGGGATTGAAGCGCAGCTTGCCACCAGGCCATGCGAGCTCCCTAATTTTTCTCAACATGGTTTATTATAGTGAAGATAATGGGCTTTAAAAGGTAGTTTCAGTTCTGAGTTGCTTTGTTTTAGGTGTCACTTTTTTAAAAAACTTAGTTTCGTTTACATTATATTTCATTCATGTAAATTGTGAGGGGTTCCCCCCTTACAATCATCTTCACAGTCAACTAATAATGAATATTTTAGTGAAAACATGTAAGCCAGCTACTTCATGCTTCATTCCCTGATACCCTCCATTTCTGTTTTGCCTGTCCCGATCAAACTAGTATTCTGAGGGAACAAGCATGTCCCTTTTGCTGTTCAACTTGGCAACTTTGAGCATCTGCATCCACAAGCCAAAGTCCAGTCCAGAGCAAGCCATCAGGTTGTAGCAATTGACTGCTAGGTCACAGCATGAATCCTCTTTTTACTATCTGTTTGGGTTCTGGTCAATTTACCCCAGCCATCTGTGGCTAGGACCAAATGGGCATCAGCTGCAATGGACAAATCTGCATTTGTCCTTGCATTCCAGACCTGTTAGTCTCCTCACGCATCCATAGCCGCCACATGGGGCCAAGTCAACAAGCCAGGGGTGCTCATGACTCCCTGCTCTTCAAGACAACACCCGTCAATGCTCGTCCACACATCTGTGCATCTAAAGTGGACATCACTGAAGGAACCACTCCATGCTCAACCCGTTTCTCTACTGTTTTGTTTCTCCCAAGTCCACTCCTTTGCATCCAGGTGATTGCTATGAGTGAGCATACTTCAGGTCTTGAAAGTGGGCTCTGATGGGCACCAATTTTACCCTGCCTCAGAAGCCGTACAACTTGTTCGAGTTTTGAAAAGACAGTCTTTTCCTTTTTTCTTCTACTCTCCTTTTAGCCCTTCTTTCAAATATGTATCTCTTCAGAGTTGCAACCAGTTTGAAAAGAATTCACCTGATAGAAAAGTTTAGTTCATGCATTTTTTTATGTGACTGGATTTGTACCTTGTGATTCATGGAGACTTCAGGTGTGTCAGAGTAGACCTGTGCTCCACAGGGCTGAATTTTCTAGTGGTTGAATTTTCAGAACTGAATCTGCAAGCCTTTATGCTAAGGCACCTTCAGGTGTTTCCAACTGCCAACCTTTTAGGACTTCCTAGTGCTTCATGTATTTTTTACTTTGTTTTTAAATTTCTGTTGTTATTTTGCCAGGCATATATTGCTCTTCTTGTACGTTCTGTTGTTCAAAAAACTTTTTTATGGTGTCTTTAATCTCACCTCCCCACCCTCCAGGAGGTGGACTGATATAGTGACTATAGCGGTGAGTTCAAGTATGTCATAGATTATAATGGCACAGGATAGGACAGGGTTCAGGTCTGTTGTTCAGAGGATTGCTGTGACTCATACTCAGCTCACAAGTACCTAATCTTTTGTTACAAAAACCTTTTGTTATTTTAGTTTAAATAATTTTACTTGAATTCCACCTTCTTGTTTTTTTTATAAGATAATAAGGCAATTTTCCTCTCTCTCACCAGCCTTTCTTATGTCACATTGTTTCTAGTCTATTCTTCCCTGATTTTTAACTCTTGATTCAAATTTTCTCCTTTTAGCTATTTTGTCCTCAATTTAAAATCTGCCCCCCCCCCAGTTTAAACATTTTGTTTGCTTTCATATTACAGATGCTCCTTCACAATTGTGTGTGAGCTGACTGAATTTGTTGGATTTAGCTAACAATGACCAGTGGGCTGGAAGCCTGTTGTTTAAAGTCAACAGGACCTTGATATTTAGAAATAGGGTGGGCCCTTGGGCCTGGAGTTAATTGTGTCTGGACTAACATTCTTCTAAGTGATAAAGCCACTGGTCTTGTCAATTCGCTGTACTGAGGTAGCTTCAGATTGCTGTGATGCTGAACACTGTGCTAGTGGTGTGTCAAGTGCCACAATGATTACCCATTGTGGACAGTGTTTGGTGAAGCTCCCAGATTAAGACAGGCTTGGACACAGGAGTGGAACCCACTTCCTAAACAACATGCCTCTGGAAATTCTATGAACTTAGAGAAATGACGACAGCTACAAAACAGGGTTCAGGTTTTTTGTTCACAGGGTTGTCATGAGTCATGTTCAACTCAACGGCACTTAACAGTAACAATATACGTTGACTGTTGTGTTGTAGTTTTCTTTAGTATTTGAGAAATTTTTTGAGAGGTTGAGAAGTTTTAGCAACTATAAATGCTTTTAGCTCATTTTAAAAAAAATTTCTTACTATTTTTTGTGTGTACCAAATCAGATCTGACTTATACAGGAGGTGTTGCCCCTCCTCCTCCAGCATAGCATCTCGTGGATTCGAACTGCATACCTCTGGGATTATAAATGCAGCTTCGTGCCACTAGGCCACCAGAGCTCCCCTGGGTTTTGCTCATTTTTAGATGGCTTGTTTTCCTTATTTATCTGTAACAGCTGAGATAATGAGGAATTTGTGTTGAGTACTGTGTATCTTGAGAAGTTCTGGTGGCCTAGTGGCAAGAAACGGCACTGCAGTCCTAGAGGCAGGCAGTTCAAATCCACCAGCTGCTCTGAGGGAGAAGGATGGGTAGTCTCCTCCTGTTCGATTCACTGCTTCTGAAAACTGGCCAGAGAACCAGCTATGGGTAATTTCTGACTTGATGGTATATAACAACCACATAGTGGAGGAGTGCAGTTGCTAAATATTAATATGGCTTGTGATTTTTGTGATTGTTTCTTTAAGGTACCATCAAGTCAGCTATAACTCATAGTGACCCTGTGAACAACAGATCTGAACTTTGCCCTATCCTGACCTGTCTTTACAATGTGATAGGCCCATGCCCGTTATACTTAACTGTGCCAGTTTGTCTTGTTGAAGATCTTCCTCTTTCTCTGACCTTTTACCTTTTTTTTTTTGACATTTTTAAAAAATTAATTTTAATGTAAGTTTACAGAGCCTAGGGTTTCCAGTCATTTATTGTTGCACTTTTCTCCATGCCCATCCCCTCCTCCCTCCCTCCCACCTTTTTTAACATGATGCCTTTTTCCAAGAATGGCCCTGACTGAAAGTATATCCAAAGTATGTGAGGTGAAGTTCCCACATTACTGCTTCTAAGGAGACCCTGGTTGTACTTCCTTCAAGATAGATTTGTTTGTTCTTTTGGCAGCCCATGGCATATTCAGTACTCTTCTCCAACAGCACAATTCAGAGACATCGATCATTATTCATTGTCCACCTTTCGGAAGCATAAGAAGTAAAGGAAAAAGACCATGACATGGATCAGGCACACTTTAGTCTTTTTTTTAAACAACTTTTTCCCCTTTCATTATTTTTGTGTGTGTATGTGTGTGTGTGTGTGTACCATCAAATTGGATCTGACTGGTACAGGAGGGGATTGTTCCTCCTTCTCCAGCAGAGCATCTGGTGGATTCAAACAGCACACTTTAGTCTTTACACTGATAACCTTTCTCTTTAGAACTCTGGTGATGTCCTTGACAGCACATTTCCCCAGTGCAACATATGTTTTGATTTCTTGACTGCTGCTACCTTGGGTATTTACTTTAAATCCGAGTAAAATGAAATTATTAACAACTTCAGTCTTTTCTCTATCACTGCCTATTGCTTTAGTGGTGAGGAGTTTTGTTTCTTGATGGAAAAGTGTAATCTGTATTGAAGGCTGTATGTAGTCTTTTGATCTCTGCAGCATGTGTTTTAGATCGCCTTCACTTTCTGCAAACCAGGTTGAATCATTAACATAATGCAGATTGTTGATGAATCTTCCTCCAAGCCTAATGTCACTTTCTTCTTCATATAGTCCAGCTTCTTGGACTCTTTTCTCAGCATGCACATAGAATATGTATGGAGAAAGGATAGAACCCTTACATACACTTTCATAATTTTAAACCATGCAGTATTCCTTTGTTCTATTTGAACAGCTGCTTCTTGGTATGAATAGATTTTGGGTGAGAACCATTACGTGTTCTAGGGTTCTTATTCAGGGAGCTCTGGTAGCCTAGTGGCAGGAAGCTGTGCTGCAATCCTGAATTGCACATTGTTCGAGGCCACAAGCTGCTCTGTGACAGAAGGATGGGCAGTCTCCTCCTGTATGTTTAACTGCCTCTGAAAACCCTCCAGAGGGTCAGCTTTGGGTTGTTTCTAACTCTGCGCTATACAACAACTGGATTCCTATTCACAACCTTAATTTGTAATTTTTTCTTCACCAAGTTTCCAAAAATATCTCCTTCCCACATTTATTTGTAATCTTGAATAAGTCATTTTACCTCTTGGTGAGGAACTGCTTTATATCATTGTACAAGATTAAGAGTTTTACATTAAAAAAAAAAAAAAAAAAAAGAGTTTTACATTAAAATACGTATCATGAAGATGAAAAAGAGGATGACAAAAGCTGATCTGACACTTTAAAAGATGAGTTTTACAGAAACTTGTTTGCAAATCATGTAGCATATCCTATTGCCAGCATTATCCAGATTCATCTACAACTACCTCATAACATGAGCTAGAGTCTGATTGGTCTAATTGTCTAATCTCTCAGGTGTCTTTTTCCTTCCTAAATTTTTGCTATCAGATGGATCCTGGCTGAAAGGGCAGAATACTAGAACAATGTCTATTTGTCCTTGATTAACTATGAAAAGGCCTTTGACTGTATGGATAATGACAAGTTGTGGCTGACATTGAGAAGAATGGGAATCCCTGAGCACTTGGTTGTGCTCATGTGGAACCTATACCCGGATCAGGAAGCTGTGTGCAAATGGAGCAGGAGAGCACTGCATGGTTTGGAATTGGAAAGGGAGTGCATCAGGGTTGTATTCTCTCTCCATACTCATTCAGTCTGTATGCTGAGCAAATTATCCGAGAAGCTGGATTCTATGAGGAAGAGTGTAGCATCAAGATTAGAGGGAGACTCAGCACTAACCTGAATTATGCAGATGACACAATCTTGCTTGCTGAAAGTGAGGAGGGCTTGAAGCACTTGCTGCAGAAGATAAAGGAATATAGCCTTCTGTATGGATTGCGTCTCAGTGTCAGGAAAATGAAGATTCTTACCAGTGGACTGATAGGCAGCATCATGATGAATTGAGAGGAGATTGAAACTGTCAACAGCTCCATCCTGCTTGGATCCAAAATTAACACCCTAGGTACAAGCAGTCAGGAAATGAGATGCATTGCAATGGGAAAAAAAAAATCTGTATTTAGGAACTTCTCCAAACTATTGAGGATTAGTGATGTCAGTTTGATGACTAAGGTGCCATAATCTTTCTGATTACTAGCTATGCATCTGAGAGCTGGACAATGACTAAGGATTACAGGAAAAGAATTGATGCATTTGAGCCTTCCTATTGGAGAAGAGCACTGAACATCCCATGGATGACCAAGAGAATGAACAGATATGTTTTGAAGATAGTTCAGCCAGAGTACTTCTTGAAGGCAGGAATGATGAAGTTTTACCTCACATACTTTGTATGTGTTGCTAGGAGGTGCTATTCTTTGGAGAGAGACATGATGTTGGGAAGAGTGGAGAGTCGGTAAAAGAGAAGAAGACCCTCAGTCAGGTGGATTGATACTGTGAATACAGCAATAAGCTGTTGTATATCAGGAAGTGTGAGAAGGGTGCAGGATAGAACAGATTTAAGATCTTCTGTTCATAAGGATGCTTGACTCAACAGCACCTAACAACAATGACAATTTTTTTGGTTCATACCCTTCCTTGTAAATACTGTTTATTTTTTATCTTTTTAAGCCCTTTTAATTTTTATTTTCTAAGTCAATCTGTTCCATCATTATGCACTATAATTAATTTTTCCTGTTAATTAAAACCTTTATTGTTTGTAACTTGCATTTTAATATTTGCATTTGTTTTATGTTATCTCTGTTTTAAATGAGAATTACCTTGGCCTCTTCATTAGACCAAAAACTTTGAGGTTGCAGGCAGCCTGGTTTATATACCTCTCTGTGATTTGAAAACTTCTTTTCAAATGGAATTAAATTTAAATAGAAATAATGATTTTGATGCCTTCCCTAGATTATTTAATGCCACTACTGTTTAAAGTAAAACTTATTAGTCACTGTTAACAGGTTATGTCCTTAAACAGTTTGAGAATTTTTATTTGAATAATATAATCACATGGTACTTGTGATTATATTATAACTTGAGAAAAGTTATTCTTTGAACTTTTTGGTCTGTGAATAAAATAGCATTCCCTTAATGTGTATGAAGTCTTTCTGATAGCCAGCTGTTTCTCACTTTGCCAAGTTAAACCTTTTGTCTGATCTTAGGAAAGATTGAAACATGAGTTACACCCTTATATGATCAGTGGATGGTCATTGAATAGTAGTGCATTCACTTCTGACATACTTCATTTGCCAATAAGGTTCTTGGAGTTTGTTTAGGTTTTCAAATACTCATTTTTAATATAATTTGGTAGTGCTGTGACTAAGATGTCTCCTGGTACTATTTTTTTTTTTTTTTTTTTTTTGATATTTTTCTCCTGGTACTATTGAACATACATTTTTTTTTTTTAAATTACATTCATCCAAACATAAAAATTGTTTATTCTTTCTTCCTCCTAGAGTGATGATTCTGACATCTGGGATGATACAGCATTGATTAAAGCTTATGATAAAGCTGTGGCTTCATTTAAGGTATGAAATAGTCACTTATTCTTTGTTTCTTCACAGTATTCATTTGGGAAAAATTAATTGCTAACACAGTAAAGTGTTAAAAATGCATGTTACTTGGTTTTGATTTTGATACCTTCCTTTAGAAGCTATCACTCAATAACCTACTTATATGTTGTCTTTCTACCTAAACATCCACTTGCTGTTTCAACTTATGTCTTCTCTGGTTTGACTGAGTAGAACTGTCTCTGTAAGATTTTCAGTGGTTGATTTTTCAGAAGATCACCAGACTTCTTTTCTGTGGCACCTCTGGATGGACTCAAACCACCAACCTTTTGTACTATCAAGAAGCAAAATATTATTTTAAACATTTATTGCTTTTAATATTTTTACCTTTTATCAAACTATAGAAGACGTCCTTCAATTCACATTAACATGAGAAAGGAGACAGTGTGGGTTACAAATTGTAAACATTTAACTCATAATCACAGAAATAATAACAAATTATGGCAGTATAGAATTAATAACTAATTCTGGGGCATTTTTATAAGTATATATGGTATTTAGGGACTTAGAACATTTACTTATTTACATAGGAGTATAGGGAGTTCTGATGACTTAGTAACAGGATAGTGACAAATCCAAAGGCACTCAATTTGAATCTACCCGCTGCTTCACGGGAGAAGGATGGACAGTCTTCTTCCTTGCAATAACTGTCTCTGAAAACCTGCTGAAGAATCAACTTTAGTCGGTTCCAAAAAAGAAAAAGCAAGAATCATTATGGGTCCTTAATACTTTATGAGGCCAAAAATCTCATGATGGAATTTTGTTTATACAATGAACAACTTAATTTCTGGAAAATACCTTTTTTAAAATAAACAGAAACTATACATAGACCTTATCTGATGAGATATTAAGGAACCAAATGGAATTACATCCAGTGAAGAAAGGTTAGAGATGCTAAATTCATCACCGAGAACAAGAGCAGGAGCTAACTTTGGACTAGACCATCAATTGCTCCTATATAAGTTCAGGTTGAAGCTGAAGAAAATGAAAACTGGTACAAGAGAACAAAAATATGACTTTGAGTATATCCTACTTCATTTACAATTTAGGATACATTTGATACATTGAACACTAATGACCAAAAACCAGACAAGCATGGAATGACATCAAGGAAATTATACACAAAGAAATCAAAAGGTTGTTAAGACAGGAAGGAAATAAAGACCAAAATGAATGTCACAAGGGACTCTGAAATATGATCTAGAATATTGACAAAAGAGAAAAGAAGTAGTGATCAAATAAGACCTGAAGAGAAGATTTCAAAGGACAGCCCAAGATGACAAAACAAAGTAGTATATGAAATATGCAGATAGTTGAAGTTAGAAAGCAAAAAGGGAAGACTATGCTTGGATTTTCTCAAGCTGAAAGAATTAGGAAAAGAATGCAAGACTTGGATTGCAATACTGAAGGATTTTATGAACTGAATATAAAGGATACAGAACGTGTGAAAAGAAGATTGAAGGAATACACTGTACCAAAAAAAATTGGTTTTTACTGAGCCATTTTAGGAAGTAGCATATAATCAGGAACCATTGGTACTGAAGGTATTTGGGGTAAAGTGACCTACCAAAATACAGACACTAAGAAGCAATGTCATTAATATCACATGCAAATGAAATGTTGCTGAAGTTAATTTTAAAATAGCTGAAGCAGTACATCCACAAGGACTTCCCAGAAATTCAGTCTGGGCTCAGAACAGGCTTTGGAAAAAAGAATATCATTGGTGATGTCAGGTAGATTTTACCTGAAATCAGAAAATATCAGAAAGATGTTTACTTGTGGCCTATTGTGTATGCAAAGCCAATGCGAATCATAAGAAAGTATTGCTAATATGACGAAGAATGGAATTTTTTTTAACTTCACAAATGGTTTATTTTCTAGTTGCCCGTGTTCTAAGTGGAGATGTTTACTTTTAGAGGTCATTAAGCATATTTCCACTTCCCTGTGAATTTTAGCAGAGTATTTATAATATTCTCTAACTATTTTTCCTGAGCATCAGTCAGGTTTTACATGTCTGAAAAATCTCTTGTCAACATTCTTTTTTTTCTTTTTGTTTCTGTTTTTATTATTAATTTTAATGAACATTTACAGATTTTGGATTTTGATTCATTCATTGTTGCACTTTTCTCCCCCGCCCCCTTTCGCTCTTCTCTTTGAAAAGTAAAAGAAAAATTCCTTCATAGGTGTATAATCCACCTACACCCTCCACTCTCACCCCAAGTATATGCCACTCTTCAACCTTCATTCCGGACTTTTATGATCATCATAATACTCTATAATATATTGCTTTTAAATTGTTCTCTCCCTCATCCGTTTCAATGCAGTATACGTAATATATCCAGTTTTTCTCAAAGAATGGAAATTTTAGAACACTTAATGGAGCTCATGGACGGCTTAGAGAACAAACAGGTTTGTCCTAGAGAGGGTGAAACCAAGCTGCTCCTTGGAGGCAAGGATTCTGAAGCTTCTTCTGAAATACTTTGGACATGTTGCAAGGAGGGACCAGTCCTTGGAGAGGGATGTCATGCTTGGGAGAGTGGAGGGACAGCAAAGGAGAAGAAGAGCCTCAATGAGATGGATTGATTTAGTGACTGGGGTAATGGGGGTAGGTGTGTCGGAGACAATAAGTTTGGCACAAGATAGAGCGGGGTATAGGGCTGTTGTATACAGGGTCACTGTGAGTCTCAAGCAACTCGACAGCACAGAACAATAGAGCTCATGTAAAATCTGTACTTAGACTAAGAAGTAGTCCTTCTAACAGAGCAAGGGAATACTGGATGGTTTAAAATCAGGAAAGTGAGTTATTTCACCTCACATATTCAATCTGTATGCTAAACTAATAATCCAAGAAGCTGGACTAGGTGAAGAGGAATACAGCATCATGATTGGATGAAGACTCAGAATTGTGCAGATAAAACGTTGCTTGCAAATGTGAAGAGGACTTGAAGGACTTATTCAAGAAGATTAAAGACTGTAATCTTCAATATGAATTACACGTCCATATTAAGAAAATGAAAATTCTCACAATGGACCAGTAGGCAGCATTATGGAAGATGGAGAAAAGATTGAAGTTGTCAACAATTTTCTTTTACTTGGATTTATAATCAACATCCATGGAAATAGCAGTCAAGAATTCCTAAGACATACTGCATTGGAAAAAATCTGTTTTCAAGAATCTCTTCAAAGTGCTAAATAATAAGGATACACGAGTTGTGGTATTTTCAGTAGCTTCATCTGCCTGTGAAAGTTGGACAGTGCATAAAGAAGACCAAAGAAGAATTGATGCCTTTGAAAGTGTGGTATTGGGAAGAGTGGAATTTTCCAACAGCTGCCTAAAGACTGGACAAGTCAATACCGGAAGTGAAGTGCAGCTAGAGGTGTAATTAGTTTGACTTTGTCTTAATTACTTTGGGCATATTATCAGGATGAGTCAGCCCCTGGAAAAGGTCTTCATATTTGGAAAACTTAAGTATCAGTGAAGGAGAGGAAGACCTTTAGTGAGGTGGATGATTGTAATGATTGCGACAGTGGCTTGGAGCACAGTAGAGAGTTCAAGGATTGCACAGGATCAGGCAAGCTTTCAGTCTGCGGTACAGAGAGTTACTGTGAGTTGGAGCTAACTTGGTGGTGTCTGACGATGCTTTCAGTACAGTAAATTAATCTTTTCTATACCCAAGGAGTTGGCTATCAAGTGAAGGGTTTTTGATGGTAGGAGTAGGTGATTTTTTTTTAGAAAATTTTATTTTAATGATAGTTTTCAGAGATTTTTGGATTTCCATTCATTGTTGCACACTTTCTTCCCTGCACACCCCTCTCCCGCAGTTAGCTTTTCTCTTTGAAAAGTTAAAAAAAAACAAATTCTTTCATTGTTATACAGTCTCCCCAACCCGCAGTCCACTCCACTATGTAGCTTTCATTCTGGACTCTTGTCATGACAGTAATACCTAGGCATCTATTCCTCCTAGACAGTTCTCTCCCTTATCTTTTTCAATGCAGTATACATAATTTATCCCCTCTAAGTTTCTCCCAGCCCTGATGGCAGTCCCTCTTTACAATAGTGGCACTATGCCATATTTGTCCTTTTGTGACTGAGATATTTCACTCCGCATAATGTCATTCAAGGTCACCTATTTTGTATAATATTTCATGAGTTCCTTGTTTTTTAATGCAATTTAGTATTCCATTGTATGAATATACCAAAGCTTCTCTATCCATTGGTTTGTTGATGAGCACTAAGGTTATTTCCGACTCCTTGCTATTGTGAACAGAGCCACAGTAAACATGGGTGTGCAAGGAATATGGGTTTTTTTTAGGACGTGTAGTTTGGTTCTTTGGTTGAAATAAGATATTTATCGAGTATAACCTTTGCCATTGCCTGAGGAATTTAGTCTTACTGAAGCAGCATGTGTGGACCATTATAATTCGGGCTTCATTGAGTAGCTAAAGTACTAAGCATAGAATTTGGTTCTGTCCTCTAGTTACTCTTCTATCATGAGGTAAATTTTATACATACATGTCCTCGTAGCAGAATTCTAGATTTTTCATTAATATACTTTCCAATGTCTCCTTGGTCTAGAAGTGGAAAAATGACGGTTATCAAGAAAATTCTGTAAAATATAGACTGAGCTCAGGAAACACCAGGCACTGATACCAGTTAGGTAGCCACTGGTTCTTGAAGGACTGGATTATCATTATGACAGGTAGAATGCTCATTTTAGAGGTTGAGCTGGTGATTGGGGGAAGTAGTCAGAATGAGGTGGGGATCCTGATTTAGAGCAAAGAAAATTTAGTTGTATCCCTGTTGAGTTTGAGGTACATGTAATAATATGAAGTTGGTGATTGGAAATCTTATATCAAACTAAAGAGAAAAGTCTAAGCTGGATAGTAATTTGGGAGTCAATTTGCATAGAGATCATAGTTGTTGTAATAAGAATTGATGTCCATGGGCAAGTAAGGAAGGTTGGTAGTCCTTTCTGTCAATGCTTAATACTTGATCAGAGAAGTAATAAAAGAATTGTTATGTCATCCAAGGTGTCATGAATTTTAAGAAAGTTACTATGTTGATCAATAAGGTCTAAAGCAACACAAAGTTTGCAAAGTGAGGAGTCCTCATTAAAAATTTAAAATGTTTTTAGGCTTGATCAATTGCATGATACCTTCACAAGCATTACTGTGAGAAGAAGAAATAGCATTTTGTAGTAATGGGACCATGAGATCAGCTTTAACCAAGTTATGTTGTGCTTTTGTTTTAAATGCATCGCTCTTTAACATGTATGTTTCTATACGTATTTTAATAGCATGCTCTGAAGAATGGTGACATTTGTGAAGCTTCAGACAAACCAAAAAGTACATCTAAAAGAAAACCTACTAAGAAGAAAAAGAACCAAAAAAAGAATACCACCACTCCATTGAAGCAGGTTATTTTAAAACATTGAGATTTAATTTAATTCCATGTATTTCTTTGCTACTGTGCTTATTAAATAGTGTTAAATATTCTTAAGTCAGTTCAGTGTTTTTCGTTGACATATAATTGTTATAAGTACAGCGTTTTCCACTGACATGTAATTCTCAAACTCCTGTTTTTCTTAATTGTGATTTTAACAAACTTTTACGAGGGAGCTCTGGTGGCCTAGTGGCAAGAAGCTGCACTGCAATCCCGGAGGTACTCAGTTCAAATCCACCAGATTCTCTGCTGGAGAAGGAGGGACAATCTCTTCTTGTACCATTCAGATCTGATTTGATGGTACACACACAAAACTTAATTAATTGAATACAATAAAAAAATTTAAAAGATGTTTACAGAAAAGTTGGATTTTCATCCATTTGTTGCACATTTTTCTCCCTCCCTTCCTCTTTTTTTCCCTCATTCACTTATTTTTTTTTTAATTGTATTATTTTTTTGTGTACCGTCAAATCAGATCTGACTGATACAGGAGGAGATTGCCCCTCCCCTCATTCACTTTTTAAAAAAAATTCGTTTATTGTTGCACCAGTTCCTCCCTCTCCCTCTTTTTCTCTTCCCCAGTCTACTTTGTAATGCATCTCTTATTCTGGACTGTTGTTATACATACAGTGCATAAGCATATATTCCTTTTAGACAGTTCTTTCCTTCATCTGTTCCAATGCACTGATCATTATCTATCCACTCTTTTCCTAGTTTCCTCCCAACCCATGTCAGTCCTGCTTTATAACAGTGGTGTTATGCAGTATTTGTCCTTTTGTGACTAAGATATTTCACTTTGCATAATGTCCTCCAGGGTCAATCATGTTGCTTAATGTTTTACAAATAAATTCTTTTTCAACACTTCAAAGTATTTCATTGTGTTAATATACCATAGTTTTTCTATCCATTTGTTTGTTGATGAGTACTTGGGTTGTTTCTATCTCTTTGCTGTTGTGAATAATGCAGCAATAAACATAGCTGTGCATACATCTGTTTGAGTGGCCGCTCTGGTTTCTGTAGGGTATATTCCCAGTAGTGGAATTGTTGGGTCAAATGGTATTTCTATTTCCAACTTTCTGAGAAAGCATCAAGCCGCTTTCCACAGTGGTTGAACCATTTTATACTCGTGCCAGCAGTGGTAAGGTTTCTGATAAGGGTTCCACAACCTTGCCAGCATTTGATTGCTGCTCTGTTGAATTTTGCTTTTGTTGCTGGAGGGAAATAATATAGTTGTTTTTAATTCTTAAACTTCTATTAAGCTTCCTATTGTTTAGGAATATGCCTGTCAGTAATACATGTATAAAAGATTAGGTGGGTGTGGCAAATAGTAAATTGAGGGTAGTGTTTAATTTGTGATTGGAAAAAGAGACAGGCAGTACTGTTTGGGAAAGATACCTTGAGGGCCTTAAACTGAATTGACAGTAGTCTACTTTTTAAACTGAAGGCTGCTATATCTTTTTTCCTTCTTCAAAAATCATAAAACTTTTTGCAGTAAGGAATTAAGAGCTCTGAGAACTCATTCCTGCTAATTAATATAGTTGTTGTTGTTAGAGATAGAATATTATAGGATCTCATTGGTCAATTTTATTTTCTTTTTTTTTTTTTAATTT